AGGTTACAGTTTTTTCTCAAAAAACAAGGCGCTTATCAAATTTTCATAAAAACCAATAAAAATAACAGTACTTGATAATTATGTCATGATTTTTTGATAATTATTTATTGATCATTATTGCATGCAAGTACCAATTAATTTAAAACATCAATTTGCTCAACAGTACTATTGCACTTAACATTATCAAAAGTATGGAATAGAAAAATCCTATAAAAATTAAATTAAAAATTGTTAGCAGCAGAATTGATCGAATAATTGGTTATTGTGATTTTTTTTTTTTTTTTTATAAAGCTGCACCACATTCTTCGGACCAATAAAGTTTCACACCCTAAAAATACACTTTTTTGCGATCAATGTATCTACAAACGAAGAAAAAAATGAGATCAAGAAGAAACATCGAATGGGATGAGATGTTGAAATAAATGAATAAATCGACATTTTTCGTCAGAGTAGTGTCTCTTTATTTCTCACTTCACTCATTTCATTTGTCATTTTTATTCCCAAAAAAGCCCCCATCGAAGAGTTATTTATTTATTTTTTTCAATGTTTTCTTATTTATTTATTTACTTTTTTTTTCATTTTTCCCTTTTTTTTTATCAACTAGGCTTATACATCGGCTAACGAGTAACGGTGTTAATATCGTGCAAGAATTATGTCCTCGCTCACTTTGGAATAACGGAAACAAAAAAAAAAAAAAAACGCAAACACCACATACGTAGCAAGATCACTTTATTATATTATACGCTTATCTCTTTCGCCCCATTTGCGTGCAATTTCCATTTTTCTTTCCTTCCGCCTCAGATTCTTGGTATTTACTCTACGGAACACTCATCGCTTACTTTCCCAGCTTCACCTCATGCTCGGATTTTCATTTTCAATCGGCATATATATTTTTTGCAAATCATCTCATCACTTTCCGCTCTGATTTTTTTAATTAACATTGTTTAACAACGTTCGATTTCCACTTATCATTAGAAATACGCAACTCATGTGCTGTGGCGACAAATGAAGTACCGGATGATTTTTTTACGTATAATAATAACTATTATTTTATTTTATTTATTTCATTTTATTATCTTAATAAGATCGTCCACTCGTAGAGTTTACAGTGAGAGTGTGTATATATATATTTTTTTTTTTTTCAATACATCCTTACAACGCTCAAATTGGTTTTCATCACATTTAACAAAGTCCACCTACAGATCGAGCTCTTGCTGTGCACACGTTTTACACTCTTATACGAAGATAATAATTTTTATTAATCGTATTAAGTTTTTAAATAGTCGCTACAATCAAAACTTTTTTCTTTTTTTTTTTTTTTTTTTTTTTTTTTTTTTTTTTT